TCAAGCAATCCTCCCGCCTTGGCCTCCCAAAGTGCTGGGATTATAATGTGAGCCACTGTGCTCTGTTTTTTACTCTAATGTGACCTGTTTTTTACTCTAAAGCTCAATTTTTGGGTGGGAGGGAGGAGGGAGCACATTTATTTATAATATAGTTTAATGTTCTACTGACTTCTACTAATAAACTTCTCCACTGAGCAGGATTCTAAGTTCAAGACTTTTCTCTGTTAAACTTCTTACAGGTAATAATAAACTCATTAAGTACTATCCATACTAACTTACAAGAAAATAACAATTTTATTGAAACACAGGCTTTAGGCAGGCAGCTACATTATTTCTATAAAGATGATTATGATTTATGAAATCCAGTCATGTGTCTAACATTGAGTTGCCTTGAGGCTGCCAACCTGTGTGATTAAAAGGCAAACATTTCAAGAAAACCATGAAGCAGTTTAAAAGTCAAGGTGGACTTTTAAAAAATCTGCATGACATCAAGAATTTACAGGAAAGGACCATTTGAAGGGATGATTATGGATGTTTTTTGAGCAAAAGAACTGAAATGGAAATCTTTTAAAAATATTTAAATCAAACATTAAAGAATGCAGCTGGGTTCTATTTTGTTAAGGAACATTTTTTCAATCCAAATAATTTTTGCCTAGTGCATGGGGAGGTGGAGGTGGGGATGGTGAGAGAAGCAGACTATTCAAATATTCTGTCAGTATTTTCCAGATGCCTCCCAACTGATGAGACAGTATAATGAGGAATCTAATAGGGCTTTGAATTGATTTTTCACAGATTCTTTCATTTCTTAGAAGTCATGAATACATTGTATTACAGATCCACTCAATTGCCATAAATGTGTTCTTTGGCAGTGTGGCAGTTGGATTTTTCTTGGTAGCAGTTTTAAAAAAGTATCTCCTCCAAGAGTGCTGTAATGAAATTTGGTTTTAAAAAAGGATGATATACAAGAGCACATTTTAACCGTAAATTATGGTATTGAAGGTCAAAGTTAAAATAGCATGTAATGAAACAATATCAGTTTGGGAGGGAGTCGGAATGAGGTAGACATAGGTTTATAAAAATCTGTAGGAAAGATTAGAGTAATGCTATAGCTTGAATGTTTGTCCCCCAAACCTTATGCTGAGACTTTGATCCCCAATGTTGGAGGTAGGGCCTAACAAGTGTTTGGGTCATGGGAGTGGATCCCTCATGAATGGTATGGTGCTCCCAGTATTAAGTTCTCTATTAGTTTCTGCAAGAGCTACTTCTTAAAAAGAGCCTGGAACCTCTCTGCCACTCTTGTTGTGTGATCTCTGCACACACTGGCTCCCCTTTGCTCTCTGCCATGGGTGGAAGCAACCTGAAACTCTTACCAAGAGCAGATGCTAGTGCCATGCTTCTTGTGCAGTCTGCAGAACTGTGAGCCAAATAGACCTCTTTTCCTTTGTAAGTTATTCAACTTCAGGTATTCCATTATGGCAACAAAAATGGACTAAGCCAAGTAGATTTAATAAATTTGTGTGTGTGTGTGTGTGTGTGTGTGTTTGAGTTGGGGGTTCTCACTCTGTCACCGAGGCTGGAATGCAGTGTCGAGAGCACAGTTCAATGCAGCCTCAACTTCCTGGACTCAGTGATCCTTCTGCCTCAGCCTCCAGAGTGGCTAGGATTACAGGGATGCACTATTGCACCTAGTTAATTTTTTGATTTTTCGTAGAGACAGGGTCTTGCTGTGCTGCCAAGGCTGTTCTCAGACTCCTAGGCTCAAGCAATCCTCCCACCTCGACCTCCCAAAGTGCTGAGATTACAGGCGTGAGCCACTATGGCTGGCCCAGATTTAAGGAATGTTTTTCAGGACATCGGTATAATTTAAACAGTTTATATGAAAAATTAGTGAGAGCCCTGCTCATACCACTTATACAAATAAATTGTAGCTAATATTTACTGAGTTCTTATTATATGCTAAGTGCTGTTGAAAGGCTTACTATGGAATTGAAGCTCAGGAGTGAGATCTGAGCTGGTGATGTGTATGGGGGAATCATCTTGTAAGTAAATGACAGTTGGGAGAAGACAAAATGAGAAAAGAAAGAGCCTGACTCCCAGAGCCCTGGGAAACACCAATGTTTAAAAGATGGATAGCAGAGGACAGAACTGCAAAGCAAAATAAGAAGCTGCTAGAGAAGTATATGGAAAAAAAGAATGGGTGGTTAGTTGGAAGCCAAGAAAGAATCTCTAGCTCTGAGGAATAGTCAACATGTAAGTACTATCAGGGATGGGATGAAGACTGAAAATGCTCACTGACATTTTCCCTTCTAGATTATAAAAATTCCAAGAAAAAGGTACAGTATCTGTCTTGTTCATTCTAATATCCTCATCACATGGAATATAATAGATTCTCCATAAAAATAAGCTTAAGTAATGCAAGCAAATACATTATTTATTTAAAAGAGAAAACTAGGTTAAACTATGTTAGCTGAAGATCTTCAAACTCTAATTTCTTTTGTTATGAAAATTTCTAAGCTATTTTCTCCTAAAAAGAATTACCTTCCTTCCCCCATTTCCCCAAATGACAGGATGTTTCGCTAATAGTACTTTACAATTTTCTCCAAAAATTTGGTCCGTGTATTAGATAAAAATTATCCGACAAAATTCCATAATCATTTTCTCCCTGTAATCCTGTTATATGTGCTCTCCAGTGATTTGCACATCTCTGGTCCCTTGCCTGGGGTAGTCCCAGTACAAGGAAAGCAGACCTAAAGAGCTGATCTGATGCCATGTTACATGTATCTGATTTCCAATTCATTTAGGTTTTTAGAGAAATCAAATAATTTCCTCCCTCTTATCTTTTTATTCTTTTACATTGTATTGTATTTGTTTTTGACGCCACGTTTTATGTCAAGACATAGTAACAGTGTTGCACATTAGAATCACCAGTAAGCTTTTAAAAATTCCAATCCTCAGGTCTCACCCACACCAATGAAATCAGAATGTCTGGGGTAGTAACCAGGCATCACTGGTTATTCCAATGTGCAGCAAAGTTTGGAAACCACAGGCACAGTAGGTTTTAATGTCAGTTCTGAGATGTCACTGATGACCTCATAATCTTGGACATGTACTTCAACTCCTCCATGGAGTTACACAATATACAAAGTACCACCCTCATAGAGTTGTTAAGTATGAAATGATTCAAAATAAAGTGATTGTATTAGTGTGTAGAGCACAACAAGGGCTATGTAATTGTTGGGGGAGAGTGGTTAGCACAGTCTACTCCCCGTATAAGTGAGAAATGTCATAATTCATTATAAGGGACATTGCCACACCCCATCCTTTAGTGTGGCTTGGTTTAACTACTATCTCCCAGACAGTTTTCAAGTGGGGTCTATGGCCTATTTCTTCAGTGTCACGTAAACAAGGAAAACAAGTCTCTGCTCTCCCAGAATTTACATTTTATTAGGAGATAATCAACAAATCAATATATAATTTCAGGCAGTGCTCACTGAAGTCATGCCAATGAAATAACCTTTACTCTGAATTCACTGTGATCTCTGCCTAAAATATACTTGGCAAAAGGGAAGCCCTATAGTCTTTAAAATAATTTACCAAAGCATTAAACAATGTATGTATAGTTTTAAAAGGTGAAGTCACAAGTCTTATCAAATACAGAATGAACACGTCAAAGATGATTTGCCCATTAATGAGGAAACCAGTAAGCTGTCAGAAACGGTTCTAAGGAAAAATCAAAACACCCACCTATATGGTTGGATCAGGAATAGGGACTGTATTTACAAATCGATTTAAAAAGGTTTTTTCCATGGAAAGGTAAGATTCACTAGGAAGTCCAGTGGACTAGTCTTAAGAGTTGTACAAAGCAGCACAAAGGTGGATAATGCTGGGATAAACATATGAATGCAGATTATCTTTTTGGTAGAACGATTTATGTCCAAACCTCAGTAATGTGCAATATACGTGTAACAAACCAAAACATGTATCTCCCTGAATTTAAACACAATTTTAAACAATAGATAAGAAAGGTGAAGAGTCCCCCATAGCATCAGAATACCAGAAAGAGTGTTGCTGTCTACGACTGGTTTTGGTTGAAGACACCCTTTAATCTTTTGGTCCATGTTAACGTGTTTCACAATTTTCCCCTACAAAACAATCACTCTTATTATCTGTAAAAACCCAGCAGCTAAGCAGTTCTTCCATTTTATCTTATGTTCTTTTTTCTTTTTGAGTTGGAGTCTCACTCCGTCGCCCAGACTGGAGGGCAGTGGCCGCTTCCGGCCACCGCAGCCTCGACCTGCTGGGCTCCGGCGATCCTTCCTCCCCAGCCTTCCAAGTAGCCGGAATTACAGGAATGCGCTACCACGCCCGGCTGATTTTTTGATTTATTGTAGAGATGAGGTCTCGCTGCCTAGGCGGTTCTCGAACCCGCAGGCTAAGAATTTTCTTTTTTCTGAATCCTTTTGCCTTAGGCAGAGTTAGACGGTATTTCTTTGCTTCCAACAAGGAGGCTTCAGAACGGAGAGTGGAGAGCTAATCCCTTATCCCTCCAGGGAGTCACCAATTTCCGCCACAGGGGCGTGGACCATGCCAGAGGGGCTTAGCTCCGCCCCTTCCCCGCAGGCACCGCCCTCTCCCCCACAGGCTCCACCCTTGGCCAGCCCAATAATCGAGCTGTGAATAGACATCACGTGAGCAGCCCGTACGTGGCAAAGACATAGTTCAGAAAAGCCCCTTATGCTTGCGTTCTCCCATCTACTTTATCTCCCTTCTCCTTTTTCCCATTAAATGCCTCTTTTCTTGCCGGTCTCATCTCGGGGATGGTGAATTACGGGGTTACCCCCATCCCGAATTATTCCAGGCCCAAGAACGGCCCTCGTCCTCCCGTAACAGACGGAGACCGATTAGCGCTGAGGCGAGCTGCAGTTCTGATTGGGCGTGAGATCTTGTCAATCTCCAAGTTTTCCCAATCAGGAACCAGGTCCATCTAGAGTAAGCCGAAGTCGCGCGAGAGCGAAGGAACTAGGAGGGTCCCGGGCAGGGGGCGGGCTGGAAGACGCGTCATTTGCTTTTGGATACGGTGATAGAGCTGTTTGAGTGTGCTGCGCGGAAGGCGTTTGTCAGGGGCCTGTCCAACAACGAGGCTCGCGACATTCCCGATGGTGTCCATGACTTTCAAGCGGAGCCGCAGCGACCGGTTCTACAGCACTCGGTGCTGTGGCTGTTGCCATGTCCGCACCGGGACAATCATCCTGGGGACCTGGTACATGGTAAGGGCGGGCGGAGGGGTGGAGGGCGGTGGAGTGGGCCAGTGCGCATGTGCGGGAAGTCGGGTTAGCCCGAGGGAGCGGGACTGAAAGCCGAGTGTTGGGCGGGGCGGGGATGTGGAGGGGCGCTTCTCTTTAGGGCGCTCTGACTCTGAACGGAGTCCGGGGTCTTGGGGGAAGGAGACTTGTGCGGGGAGCGGAGTAGGGGCGGTGGGCAAGAATGGGGAGATAGTTCTTCCGCAAAAATTTGAGGAGAAAAGCGGGCTTGGGAGAGGTGAGGCGCTAGCATTCGGTGGAAAGTTCTGGGGATTACCTCCCTGGTTTCTGCTCTTTTTGTATTTCCTCGATCTGAAAGCCACCCTCCGCTTCCTCCCACCCAGTGCTCCCTGGATTTTTTCCCCCCTAACAAAACTATTGGGAGCGGATCTTGATAAATGCAGTCTAGTTTCGACATCGTCCTGCCTGATGGGGAAAACGAAACATCCCAGCTGTGACCCAGTCGTCTGTGTTTCCTTGGCCTTGTTTTTGTTACAGCGTGTTTGTGGTGTAGGCACTGAGGCCTCTATTGCGAGCTTAGGGTTTACACCTGATCATCTTTTTTTCCTGGTGCAACCCCTCCCTCCCTGTCCTTTAGATGCTTTTCATAACAGACCCGTTCTGTTTTTTTGAGGCGTTCTTGAGAGCCTACTCTCTTCTGGCCACAAATGCTGGCATTTCTTGGGTTCCAAGATCTATGTGAGTCTGTCATTACCAAGCTGACAGTGTGGTTGATTGGCAGTTAACTAGTAATACTTTTGTGATTTCATTTTTTTTCCCAACCATCATGTCCAGTACCCGTACACATAGAAGCACATTTGTGATTTTTAATATGTGATTCAGCTGAAGTAGTTTTAGGTTATAATGACTTTAGTGAAGCAGTGACAAACTTCATACATTGTCGACTTGGCCACTTCCTCTAATGATTTTGTGATTGTGTGTGGGGAGGCAGGGGGAGATATTGGCGATACAGTGCAGCTTCTGATAAAGTGACTGCAAAAGTGGCAAGAGATTTAGCTCAGAGCTCTTTCTGCTTTTCTCTGTTCTTGTTCCTTCACACCATGTCTTGAAACCATTAGTAACCATTTGGACAATCACCAGATAAGAATCCTCTCCAAGGAGGCACATATTGTTGATAGCACCCCCAGGACAACCTGACCTCCACATTATTCCTGACTTACCCTGTTGTTTTTTTTTACAGTTTTGCTTCTTTAATGTACATTTAAAAAACAACAAAGCCTAAATATATAGGCTTACTTGCTTGTCCTGAGTTTATTTTAGTGTTTCCTATACTTTTAAATTCAGAAATATCATCTTATGGTATAATTATATCACATTTTCTCTAAGAGACTTCCTTTCGTTCTATATTTTAACTGGCTTTAAATACTGAACATCGTATAGTTAATGACAGTCAGCTGCATTATATTTCTAACTTCCTTTTATTTTCCATTTTGCTAAGGCTGCATCTAATTTCTTTTGTTTGTCCTTAACTCTGCTTTCCATTCCCCTAAATGAATAATTTAAATCTGGAGGGTTCTCAAGCTTTTTACCCTAACTCCCAGTAGATGACCTTCCCTCCTACTTAACTGCAAAAAGAGAGTCAATCAGCTGGGCTCTCTTCCTGCATATTAGTCTTCTGTTTCTTCTTAGATCCTTCCTTCCATTCATAGAACAAAGGATTTCAATTCCTGAGGAAGAAAACACCACTATTATTTCAACCACCCAAAATGTAATTGACTGTGTTTCTTTCCAGTCTTTCCCAGGCAGATGTTTGATGCTGTGGGCTTTGCACAGAAATAAAAACAATAGCAAGATAAAGTGGGAATTATAAACAGAAAACTCAAAATGCAGACAGAAAAACTACAGCAAGGGCATTCTTACAAAATGGGAAGTTAGGAGTTTATATCTGTTCCCTACTTGAAGCACATGATGTGAAAATAGTTCACATGTCTCTAAAGTCTGTGCTTTAGTCTCACAATTTTAAAAAGATGTCATAACTGTCCTTACTATATGTGGATGTTTCAGGTTAGTGTAGAATATTTTACTGTAGAGTGCTTAAATCCATTGATCTGTCTTAATTAAGAGATTTACTGATCATCCATAATGTAAAAAGACTTTGTGGACATGCAAAAGAAATAAGTCACAGAGACCATATGTTACTTGTCTTTTGTATTCCTATTATCTGCCACATGGTGTAATCAAATGTTTCTTGTCTTAACGTGACATCTGTCTTTAAGATGTTTATGGTATGACAAAGAACTGGAGCACAGAAATGAAAAGTAAAATTTAGGTACTGTGACAAAGGAGAAAGGGAAGGTAATGGGTAATATCATATTCTAATCAGATTAAGTACTGGAAAAAGCCCATTGGTTTTGTTTGTCACTGTATTGTTTGTGACTTTCAAAAGCCCCAGAGCCATAGCAGTACAAAGACACAACTTCTGCCTAGTTGAGGAAACATGTAACACTTAGAAAACAAGACCACTTAGACCAAAATATAGTATGATACCTCCAAACAAAGACAACTTGTCCAAATAGTGCCTTTTATTGCCAGAAGCTTCTTTACTAAGAGAAATAGTATAGAGGTGAGTGAGGTAGAATGTCACTTTGCTCCCTGACTACCTTGTCAGGTACTTTTTTCCTCGATTCCAGGTAAGGCAATACTTCCCAATCTGCGTGGGAGAATATTTATGATTCCCTCTAGATTACTTGGGCCAGACTTCTAAGATGCTCCCTGTGCCGTGGAACTTGAGGGTGCAGCTCTCCCTCTGCTGGGCCCACACATATCAGTGACTATCTGATACAGTGTGGTTGCTTTCCAGCCATGGCTTCTACTGGTTTAGTGTTAAGGTAATTGTAACACTGTGTACTAAAGTTTTAACTGTTTATTTAGTTGTGCTGTGGGACAATGGAGAAAGCCAGAACCAGTTATTAGATGCATCAGAGGATTGACTCTGAAGTGTTAGCCTTTGGTATTTAGATTTGAAAGAAGCATTCCTGGTTTAATACCTGGTTAAATAATAAGAAATTTCAGGACAAGCACAAGTTTAAATTCTTGCATTCTTGAAATTTTTTTCTCTATCATTTATTGAAGCATTTTGAAGCCAGATTTCAAACACATTTCTTATGCAGTAAAAGCTCAGATACTTATTGAATGATTGAAAATGGACTTAAACATCTGCTTCAGGAGGTAGACTTCATTGTAGTCAATGGTATGTAACAAGGATGTATTTTGAGTATTTGTAATAATTTCAGGTCTTAGAAAGATTTACTATATGGCTAATTTTTCATGTCTCAACCATAACCAGTCTAAAGCTAGGAAACTGGGAGAGAAGTGAAGGCAGGTTTCCTCAAACACTATTCCTTTCTAGCTCTCATCCTGACTTCTTTAAGTAAGTACAGCTTGTTTACTTTCAAAGATAGTTTTTTTCCTCAAATCCATTGTTTTACACCTCTTTGCTTCTGTGCCTTTGCATATGCTGTTCCTTCTTCCTGAAATGTTGTTCTCCTCCAAGTCACTTTCTAAACATTTTGTTAAGAAATCGCTCAGACATTCAAAAGTAGTGAAATATTCTGAAAATCTCCCATGTACTCACTACCCTGTTTCAGCCATTAACATTTTGCCAATTCCAGATAACTTTATTTATTGAGACAAGGTCTTGCTCTGCAGCCCAGGCTGGGGTGGCACAATCATGGCTCATTGCAGCCTTCAACTCCTGGGCTCAAGTGATCCTCCCGCCTTAGCCTTCCAAAAGTGCTGGCATTACAGGCGTGAGCCCAAATAATTTCTTTTGTTTATCTATTTTTGAGTCAGAGTCTCACTGTCGCCCAGTCTGGAGTGTAGTGGCATGCTCACGGCCACTGTGGCCTCAACCTGTTGGGCTCAGGTGATCCTTCTGCCTTAGCCTTCCAAGTATAGGCGCATGCCACCACGCCCAGCTAATTTTTTTATTTATTGTAGAGACGAGGTCTCGCCGAGTTGCCCAGGCTGGTCTAGAACCCTGGGCTCAGGCAATCCTCTCAGCCTCCACCTCCCAAAGTGCTGTGATTACAGACTTGAGCCAGCGTGCCCAGCTCCATATAATTTCTTAATGGCTAGCTCACGTGTTTTCATGGTGAAGCTTTCCTTACTTCCTTTTCAGAGAGATCTGTTTTCCTCACTGTGCATCTGGGAAAGTTTCTACATACCTCTTGTATGTACTTATTAAATGGTACTTCTTACACATTAGTATGATCATCTTTTTTCTTATGTTTCCACAACAAAATTTCCTCCTAGAAGGAGGAGGGTGATTCCTTACTTTATAAAATGTGTGTAGTGGCTAACTTATTAATTGAATCATTTGAGGTGTTCATTAGACATTTGTTGAATGAATTGTCTCCTCCAGAAAATAGTAAGTATACTCAGTTGTAACTGCATATAACAGTAAACAACAAAAATACCTTATATATACATTAAATTTGTTTTTAAAGATTGTCAACTTTGATCTTGATCAGGTGGCAGTTCTTTGGTTTTGTAGACTGACTCCCTGTGTGTGCTTTCTCTGCATGTGAAACCTGTATCAGAATACCCTGAACCAAGCACTTTGAATTATGGTCTCAGCAGATACTGGGTCTGGTCAAAATATGGTATGGGAAAACTGAAGAAGAATGACTTTTCTTTCTTTCTTTCTTTCTTTTTTTGAGTTAGAGTCTCACTCTGTTGCCCAAGTTTGAGTGCAGTGGCACGCTCACGGCCACCTCAGCCTTGACCTGCTGGGCCCAGGCGATCCTTCTGCCTCAGCCTTCCAAGTAGCTGGCCACCACACCCAGCTAGTTTTTGTGGTTTGTTGTAGAGAAGAGCTCTCACCAAATTGCCCTGGCTGGTCTCAAATCCCCGGGCTCAGGCAATCCTCTCACCTTGGCTTTCCAAAGTGCTAGGATAGCCACCATGCCCTGTCAGAATGACTTTTTAAAAGTTCCCTTCTGGGATAGATGTGACAGTGAAATGAGGAAACAGAAGAACTACTCTCCTGAGGTGGCTGAGTGCTTCCGTGGATTTGATGCTGCTCTTTGTAACAAGTAAAATCTAACATTTTTTGTCTACTTATATGATCAAAAACAATGCATATCACATGAATTGACTGATTAAATTTATAGTACATTTATACCACATTGAGTGGTATGTTCATTGCCTGTGCTGTTAACATGTTTGCTGCATTCTGTCCCTGTTCTTACTACCAGGTTTAGAAGTTAATCATTTAATCTTTTTTAAGGAGATGGGTTCTCGCTATGTTGCCCAGCTCAGAGAAAGTTTATGTTGCAAGACTACTGTATAATTAATTTTGTGTTTTGTTTGAGAAATTAAACGTGGAACTTAGTAGAAATGTCACACGTAATCAGAAGTTAGTAGCCAGTGTCTTGGCATGGTGGTTTACGCCTGTAATCCCAGCACTTTGGTAGGCTGAGGTGGGAGGATTGCCTCGGCAACATAGCAAGACCTCATCTCTACAAAAAAAAAAAAAAAGCTGGGCAGTGGTGGTGCACACTTGTAGTCCTAGCCACCCAGGAGGCTAAGATGGAAGGATCGCCTGAGCTCAGGAGTTCAAGGCTGTGGTGAGCCGTGATTGCGCCACTGTACTCCAGCCTGGGTGACAGAGTGAAGATCCTGACTCAAAAAAAAGTTTCCAGGGTTTGTATATGAGCACAGGATAGGTGCTTAGTGGTGAATCTTTTTGTTTGTTTGTTTTTTTGAGTTGGAGTCTCACTGTGTTGCCCAGACTGGACCTGCTGGGCTCCAGTGATCCTTCTGCCTCAGTCTTCCAAGTAGCTGGAATTACAGGCATGCGCTACCACGCCCAGCTGATTTTTTGATTTATTGTAGAGATGAGGTCTCGCTGCCCAGGCAGGTCTTGAACCCGCAGGCTCAGGCAATCCACTCACCTCAGCCTCCCAAAAGCACGGGATTACAGGCTGAGCCACCGAGCCCGGCAGTGGTGAATCTTTTAAGATCACAGGGATACGTTTTCCAGTCTGATACTTTAAGATGTAAGTTGGGATTCTAATGAAATATAGTGACCGAATGGAATATAATTACCCTGTTGAAAATTGTAAAACTGAGTTGTGTTTTTTTTGTTTTTTTTTTTTTTTTTTTGCGTTAGAGTCTCGCTCTGTCGTCCAGGCTGGAGTATAGTGGCATGCTGCTCATGGCCACTGCAGCCTCCACCTGCTGGACTCAGGTGATCCTTCTGCCTTAGCCTTCCAAGTAGCTGTAACTACAGGCATGTGCCATTACGCCTGGCTAATTTTTCTTGGTTTATTGTAGAGATGAAGTCTTGCCAAGTTGCCTGGGCTAGTCTTGAACCCGAGGGCTCAGGCAATCCTCTCACCTCGGCCTTCCAAAGTGCTGGGATTATAGGCGTGAGCCACCGCACCTAGCCAAAACTGAGCTTTTAATGAAGTGACACTGATATGCATTTTACCATATCTTGTTTCTTTTGATTAAGTGTATGATTTATTTTGTTTAATATTCAAGAGTATGAGCCACAGTGAAATGAAATTTGAAGTGTCACTAATACTAAAAGAAGATAATAGTGAATGTGTCTGTGACTTACTCATGGAAGCGAAGAAAAGAGATTTTTACAAATCATACATGTAAGCCAGGTGTGGTGGCTCACACTTGTAATCCAGCACTTTGGGAGGCTTAGGCAGAAGGATCACTTGAGCTAGGAGTTTGAGACCAGCCTGGGCAACATAGTGAGACCTCCATCGCTACACAAAATTATAAAAAATTAGCCAGACATGGTGATATGCATCTGTCTACTCAGGAGGCTTAGGTAGGAGGATCTCGTGGGTACAGGATTTTGAGGCTTAGTGAGCTATGATTGATTGCTCTACTGCAATCTAGCCTGGGCTATAGAGTGAGACTCTGTCTCTTAAAAATAAATAAACAAACAAAATGAATCCTGCATGTGATAAAAGATTTTAAGAAGAGAAATTTAAACTCCTATATTTTTAGCATGTAATTCCCTTCATTTGGTAATTGAGTTTGCATGTTTTTCTTGACAACATTTTTCTGTACTATGGAGAGCTTTCTCACTATGATTATATTGTGTTTAGCGAAGAAGAGTTTGCTCAGTTGATTTCAAACTGATTTTCATACACAGGACATATAATGTTTCAGTAGGTATAGCTGATTGTTCAGTAATTAACTCACCTAATAGTACTGGCTCATACTCACTGGCCAAACCCATTGCAACAAAAGTGGACAATAAAAAATCAGCCTTCAACTGGGGAACCACCTTGTAAATATGATTATCTCCTGTAAAACCTGTCAAGATTTGAAGGGTAAAGAACCTTGTCTTGGAGCAATGCAAGGAAAGACATGCTACGGAACATATTTATTTAGAAAGTGAAGCATAAGCAATTTATAGCCTTAGCTAAAGGTTTCTTTTGGAGAGACCTCAACACAGCAGTCACTAAAGAGTGATGGTAAGTGGTCAAATAGTGCTGAAAAGCAGGGTGTCTTAAAAACCACCTTTGTATCCTGGCTCCCCCTCCGGTCAGTGTAGCAGACTTAACACAAGTCATGTAGCTTTACTGAACCTTAGTTTCCCCATCTGCAAATGGGCTTTAGTAATATTTACTTCACAGGTGGTTATGAGTAATAAATGAAGCAATATATGTAAGCATTCATGTCATAATATATCCTTAATAAATATTGGTTGATTCTGAATTTGTTACTGTGACATTGTTTAGATCACCCAACCTAAAGATAAAACTTGGTCTGCTCATTTAGAGAATGTTTGTGAAATGACTTCAGGTGATGAGAAGAAAAGGTATTGCCTGTGTGTCACTTATCGTTCAGGGTAGGATAGGAAAGAAGTACATAGTAGAGTTTGTTTAATACACTGTTAATAGGAATCTAATAGTCTTTGAAAGTATCAGATGTTCAGGTTTTCACAAAGGGGAGGAGGGCAAATTCTGTGAACTTTAGATGGGGAAGCCTAACTCCTGTCCTAGGTGAGATTTCTATATTGAATCATTACTAGGACTGTGTCTGAGTACCTAAAGGCAGTAGTGTCTCTTGGGGTACTGCAAGGATTCGTCAACAACTATAGACATAATGAATTTCCTTTTGTTTGTGTATTTGTTTTTGTTGTTGTGGCTTTTTAAATTTAATTTAATTTAGTTTTTGCGACAAGGTCTTGTTCTTTTGCCCAGGCTGGAGTGCAGTGGCACAATCATAGCTTATTGTAACCTCAAATTCCTGGGCTCAAGTGATCCTTCCAAGTAGCTGGGACTACAGGCATGTACCACTGCACCCACTTTTAATTCTTTAAAAGTTCTTATAGAGATTCACCAGGTTGCCCAGGATGTTTTAAAACTCTTGACCTTAAGCTATCCTCCTACATGGGCCACTAATGTCCTTTTAAAATGAGTTAACAACTCTGGTACACTTGGAAAATTTCCAGATATTATGATGGAATCTTAGCAAGATGTTTGACAGAGTCTCAAGATGTTCTTCTGGACTGACTGAAGAATGTTTTTGAAAAATTACTTGTTGATAGGAGGGGACAGCCTTTGGCAGTTTTCTCCTCAGCTCTGTTGTTTTTTTGTTAGTGACTTAAATGGAGATATTGATTACATACTGATCATATTTTCAAATGCAGGAAGCTGAAAGAGACAGAGTAAATCTGTCCTGTGTCAAATCTAGATCCAGAAAATCTTGACAGGCAAGAATGTAATAAGATGAAATTCAGTTACAAATACATTAAGGCCTATACTTGGACCTCTGGGTCCAAATGTCCAGGCATAGATGGTAGCATAGAACCAGGTGTTTTAGGGAGGTAATCTTATGTGACATTCAGAAAACGCATAAGCCAGTGCAATTTCAGGTTGCATTAATTGAAACTAGCATATGAGAACTGAGATCCTGTTGTGTTCTTACTGGGCTGATCTTACCTCATTTTAATAGTATGTCCATCAAACTAGAGCAGGTATAAAGAGGGTAGCAAAAGGGAAACAGGCAACTAGAAAACATGCTAGTCAGGGGAATGATCTAAGGACCTGAATGTCTGTTCTAGAAAACACAGTATTTGGCGGTTACTCTCAGGTATTAGAGAAGCACTTAGGAGGGTAGCACATTATCGTAAAAGGTATATTTGTATCTTTGTTACTTCAAACAAGACAATTTTAAATATGGGAAGACATCTGAAGATTGTGCTGCAGACTGCTTTTCAATAGTAATTAATGTAATTGATGGAATGTTGTCTTTTACAGGTGGTAAACCTATTGATGGCAATTTTGCTAACTGTGGAGGTGACTCATCCAAACTCAATGCCAACTGTCAACATTCAATATGAAGTCATTGGTAATTACTATTCATCTGAGAGAATGGCTGGTATGTTTTGAGTTGGGAAAGAAAATCCCCTGCTAATTTTTATATATTAAGTCCTATGTCACTTAATGATGGGGTTATGATCTGAGAAATGCATCATTAGCTGATTTTGTCGTTGAATGAACATCCTAGAATGTATTTACACAAACATAGGTGGTATAGCCTACTACACACCTAGGCTGTGTGGTATGGCCTATTACTCCTAGGCTACAACCTGACAGCAGGTTACTGCGCTGAATATTGTATGCCGTTCGCACACAGTGGTAAGTATTTGTGTATCTAAACATAAAAAAGCTACAGCAAATGCAGTATTAATCATCTTATGGGACCAGTATCTTATATACAGTTCATTGTTGACCAAAACTGTGTGGCAGGTGACTATATATATATCTATTTATCTTTTATATGTATATATACACATTTATCTTTCTCTCTCTCTATACACACGCATATATATACGCACATATTATTGATAGTTATTTAGAGCAGGATTGATTAAATTATGCTCAAATTACATTTCAAAAGGTAAGCTACATAATTAGGATAACATAAGTTAAAATTGTATTTAAGTAATTCCTGTTGAGAGAGGAAAGTATTTTGATGCGGTTTTCAAAAATACTCAGGATTAAAATAAAGCATTTCTAGCCAGAAAATGTAATGGACTACTAGGTATTTTGAGAAATGTATAGTGTGTACCTTGACTCTATCAGGACTAGGGAGAGAGAGAAGAGGGAAATTAAAATGAACTATAAACCTTTGAGGGCCAACTGACAAGTGTTAGGATGAGAGATTTGCTCATGGAGCATATAGACACTCATTGTAAAATATGAGATATAAATTTATTGAATATATACTCAGTCACAATTCTACTTATTTGTCTAGATGGAGAGAGACTTTACATTGGTATCATTTATCTTTCTCTAAAATACAGGTACAGAAAAATGTTTGTTGAGATGTTGAATTATTATATATTATGTAAGAAATTTAATATTTGAACAGAAAATTATGCCTCAGACATTTCAATGCAAACAGTTTTTACATGTGTATTTTAAAATTCACTTCAGAAAATGGTCCCTGTTCACATGCATATGTTATATTATAGGACCTTAGTTATCATGTTTTAAGATTTATTTGCTTTTATTGTAAAGTTCTAAGCTTCATTACATTTGTGGCCTTCTTTGATCCATTTATGAAGTTTAACTTATATATGTGTGTTTATTTGGTTGTTAATTCAAATAATTAATTGTCCGCATAGCTAACTTTTGTTTCTAGAAGCCAGGTAGAATCTTGTGGCTGTCATATATATAGTATTATGGAAACACTAACAATCGTTCGTTCATATTGTATTTTTAAAATGTTTTCAGAAAAATAAAAAAGGAAATGAAATTTTGTTGTCAACTGTTACAGGAGAAATAGCAAGAGCATATTAGAAACAGCCCTTTTGGCATTTTTTTTCTGAGTAGTCTTTTTTTTTTTTAATTTAAAAACAACAACAACAGAAAGGAACAGTAAATAAATCTTCATTTTCTAATGACTGTTAGTCACTTGATATTTTCAAATTGTGCTTCAGGATACGAAACTTTAATTAACCTGCTAACATCAGTATTTTCCCTTGTCATATTTCTCCGCAAATTGAGGTGTAGAAAAAGCATTTATGGCAATTGAAATTCTTGCAGGCCTGTTAGACTGACTTCTGTGGCTACAGCTGTAGGAATGGAGTCAGGAGGAGTTACTGTATTTTGCATGAGTATTGTAACTGCTGTAAAGAAAATCAGGTGTAGTAATTATTATATTTATGCTGATTATAATTGTACCAAAGCCCTTATTCTTGAGAGAATGTAAGAATACGTAGTTCTTGGTTATGTGGCAGTTTGTATATCTTTGGAAGTTAAAATTTGACGCCCACAGATCCAGTTAATTTCTGATCATTGGCTTGATGACCAATTTTAAATAATGAGGTTTGTGATTGGTTATTTTTAATCAGCTAAACCCGATATGGCAGTCAGTATATAGGAAACACTTCTGCTACATGTGCGAGCTCTTTTTCAGTATCGATTGCATCTTATTTACATCTCTTTGGGAATGCAGAAATACCAGGGAGAGACCCTGGATGAGGTTCTTGAATGTAGTGGTGCTGGAAACCTGAGGTTTCTTTCTTTTTTTTTTTTTTTTTTTTGAGAAAGCAAGTGTTTATTAAGCTTGACAAAAAAACTCCCAAGTAGTAGGGAACCTGAAAGAGGGTTGCCCGAAACCTGAGATTTATCTAGACATCTGGCCCTTGTGTTTTGTTGTCTTTATCGATTCACAAATACTGGAGTGTCTGTTGACTCCAGGGTCACCAGATTTCCCCTTCTCTTTTGCTGTTTGTTATTCCAGTGGGAGCTTGAACTTCACTTTATTTTATACTTTAAGAAATCAAAATAGGAGGCTTGAATTTCACCTGTATGATAACTACTTATGTACCTAACCCCGAATTGTACCCCACATCTTTAAAAAAAAATCAAAATAAGCATGCAGTCTTCCATTACAGACTCTTGACAGCTCATTATTTGACTTACAGATTTTACTTTCAAGTTTGACAGTACCTATCCCATTTAATTTTATATTTTGTTTATATCTGAATTCTTCTAAGTGGTGTCGCTTATGCTGCGGGGTAGTTATTTAAATCCTTAATATTTAGCTGTCCTGTATCTTCTAAGAAAAATAAAGAGAGCTATTCTTAGTTTAGTGCCAAATACTGATGATGTTTGTACTGTCCAGCGATAAAGATTATGCATACACATTATTCAATACTATGACTACTCAGAATTATTCTAATCATTCATCATCATTAGTGCCCTCAGCAATTATTTATTTTTTTGAGCTGGAGTCTTGTCTGCTCAGACTGGAGTGTAGTGGCACAATCATGACTCATCACAGCCTCAAATTTCTGGGCTCAAGCGATCCTCCTGCTTCAGCCTCCCAAGTATCTGGGACTGCAGGTGTGCATCACTATGCCCAGCTAATTTTCATTTATTTATTCATTCATTCATTCATTTATAAATAGAGGTGAGGTCTTGCTATGTTGCTCAGGCTAGTCTCGTACTCCTGGGCTCAAGCAGTCCTGCCTTGGCTTCCCAAAATGTTGAAATTACAGGCATGAGCCACCATGCCTGACCTTCCTCAGTTTCTTACTATCTGTCCAGAGTCACAGAATTAACTGTAGATCTGTGCTAAGACACTCAGTAAGTCAAATGTAGTTCAGTACTGTTTGAGATTATGAGGATATTATGTGAAAAATTTAGTGAACATGGACTAATGGAGAGTTAGAACAACCTGAGAAAGAGTTGAGGTTCAGAGAAGAAAATAGTGTGTGTAGTAGAGAAGGCAACGTGAAGGAAGTAGTGAGTTTTAACGTTTGGGATATTGAGGTGGGGAAGAAGGGATTAATGGAGAGCTTTGAATTTCGGTTATGTTTTATCTAAGGCAAGAGATAGCATCTGTGTGTTCTGAGTTTCTCTGTCTTTTAAGCAAATGCCAGCCTTTCCTTCCAGTTAAATCCTATGCATCTCACAAGACCCAACTTGTGTCATTTCTTTTATTTTTTCCTGATTCTCCAGGCAAAGTTAATTGCTTCTGCCTCTGTTATAGCACTTGACACATTGGATTATAATCACCTGTTTGCACATCTTGGACTCATACGGGCACAGGGACCTGCTTCCCTGGCGGAGAACGTGGTTCATGTGCCATCCTAAACCGATATCAGTAAATTATTGTAGCCATTTAACAAATGGTGCTCTGTGAATTTCTCAAGGTGCATTACTTAATGCAGAATTTTAGATTTTTCCCCCCTCTTGACCTTAGATCTTTTCATAGCCACTTTTGAAAATTTCTAAGATTAAATATTTTTAAGCTAGCTTTGAAACATTATTTTGTCATGATTTTTCTTTTTGTTGTGTAAGTAGCGTAATTTGATTTTTGTTTTTGTTTTCTTAGATAATGCCTGTGTTCTTTTTGCCGTCTCTGTCCTTATGTTTATAATCAGTTCAATGCTGGTATATGGAGCAATTTCTGTAAGTATCCTATATTTTCAGCTTGTAGAGCTTGACCTTTACTTAGCGGTACTTAGTAATTTTTTATATGTGATATAATGTTGTGATTGTTATTTGTTTCTACAGTATCAAGTGGGTTGGCTGATTCCATTCTTCTGTTATCGGCTTTTTGACTTCGTTCTCAGTTGTCTGGTTGCTATCAGTTCTCTCACTTACTTGCCAAGAATCAAAGAATATCTGGATCAATTAGTAAGTGTGTATGCTAATCAAACTTATTTTTCTCACTTAAAATAAATATAATTTTTTACCATACATTTGAATAATTTAATATTAAAAATTCCTAAAGAGAGATGTTGTGAAACTGGTAGTTCAGCTTTTATTTCTCAGTATATCAAAGGTATAATAATTTGGTACTCATTTAATTATTAGCTTTTTGTCTTTATAGGCTTTCATAGCATATATTTGAGTTCTTACTATATCTTTAACCTTCTGCTACCCACCATTCGTGAATGTGTGGGTGTAAAGATAACTAGGAAGTTTAGGGAACGAACCATATATTTTGGGGGGGGTCAAGATATATCAAGATGTTGGCTGTGATAATAAATTGGAGCTGTTGCACAGTATCAGTAAATAAGGAACTTGTATTGATGCCATATAATGGAGGGGGCAGAGAACACTTTAGACTGAAGTGGCCAAAGAGAGCTTCATGGAGGTGGTGTGGAAGGAAGTATGGGGTCCAGATAGTTGAAAACTGGGACAACCTTAGTTCATTTCCAGAATACTGTCTTTTAGAACTTTTCTCCCTGTTTCCATACTTCTAGATTTCCTGCCTAGTCCATTTTGCACACCACCAAATTATTTTCCATTCATTCAAATAACTTGGTTGCTGTTATGCACAAGGCACTATACTAGGTCATAGGGATATGTCAGTGGTGCTTACTTTCTAGTGAAGGAATCAGAAAATTGTCAGTTACTGAAATACAATTGTAGGCTACTATGGGAGCACATATCACATGGGTAGTAGACCTGGGCTGGGATGTGAGATTGAAATTGTGCTTAGGAGTTTGAGTAGGAATTAAAATAGAGAAAGTACAGAAGTTTTGGGTAAAAAAAAGACCTTGAGACAGGAAGGAGCATGGTATCGTGACAGAACTAAAAGATGGCCATGGTGGCCACACAGAGGGAGGACTAGTAAGGCTGGAGAGAGGTAGCCAGGGGAGCACGGCCTGTTGACCTGCTCAGCCATGGTGCGGAGCTTCTTAAGTGCTTCTCTCTGCTCATCTCATCTGTGGCTGAAAAAAATGACAAGTGGTGCCTCCCTGCTTCTGGATAAAATCCTTAGTATAGCTCAGCAAGCACAGCAAGACAGCATTCCCCCATGAGTGGTCCCTTCTATGTTTATCCTTTTTTTTACAGGTAAAGAGTCAAAAAAAAAAAAAAGTCTTTCCAAGGAGGTACTTAGCTAGGGGTGGTTTGTGCTGCTTTTTTAATGGAAATATAACTATTTAGGCCTTTGTGTTAAAACACATATAAGCTAAAAAAAATTTAAATGAGCTTTATAGGAAAGAACATCAAAATGAATTTATTATTATTTTTACAGACTCTGGTGTTTTCTCTTCCCTCTGTTTTATTCACTTAGTTCATCAGATTGGAAGATACTTCCTCTTCTAACCAGCTTTTTTTTTTTATAATCAATATTTTTTATTATATTGTGGGGTACAGTTAAGGGTTAGGTATACAAATATGCTTCGTTCAGACACCCTTATTGATAAGAGGTATTTCCCCATCCCCAGACAGATAGTTACTACCGTTAATCCCATCTCCCTTCCCCTCTCCCCGCCCTCCATAGTTTCCCACCACTGTCAGTCATTTTCTTATAGTATTACGTTGGATGTTCAAGGTCCACTACATGAGTGAGAACATGTGATACTCAGATCTTTGTTTCTGTGAGAGGTCACTCAGTATTATAGACTCTAGTTCCATCCAGGTTGCTGTGAAATTCCAGCTTTTTTTTTTTTAAGAGACAGGGTCTCACTATGTTGCCCAGGCTAGTCTTACACTCAAGTGATCCCCTGCCAAAATGGTGGGATTAAAAGCATGAGCCACCATGCCTGGTTATGGCCAGCTTTTTTATTCTAAATTCTTCTTTTGTAATGCTTCTTCCTGAACTTGGTTTATTGTCTCTTACATAGTCAGGGCTGAATGAGTATTTAATATAGCTGATCCTTCTCAGTAGAACTGAGTATGTTTGCAATAAAACTCATAATCTTGCCTGTCTTTATAACCAGTGACATGCCTTCTTTTTTCTCTGATTAGAGTTGAGACCAACAATTGACTTTTAGAAAAATAGTTTTCTGCAGGTCGCACTAACCTTTGGAACTTAGATGTCAGCACCTCTGACTTATTGACTCAGTGACCCAGGGACAAATCTGGGGTCCCATATAGGAGACAGTATTTTTCCAAAGGCCAGAAAGGCAGAAAATAGTAAAGAGAAAATGAGCTCTATTTAGACTCCTAGGAATATGATAAGTTTTCAAACAGGTGTATTTTAAGTGACTGTTAGCATGCATTAATGGTTATGAGGCCTAAACACACTTTGAATTAAATTCTGTTTACACATCTTTATTAGACTATCACTTATGACTTTGGGGCCTTTTGTTTGTATCCTTAAAATACTCTCTAGGTTATCACCAGGTATAAGTCATTTGCAGAATTGTAAATGTATATGTGTGTTTTTTTAATAGCCTGATTTTCCCTACAAAGATGACCTCCTAGCTTTGGACTCCAGCTGCCTCCTGTTCATTGTTCTCGTGTTCTTTGTCTTATTCATCATTTTTAAGGTACGTTGCTGACTAAATCTTTGGGGTGGCTAGTGAGACTGATACTGTCCCTCTAGCCCTTGGGACTTGCTGTATGTGCCTACAAGTAACAGCAGATTGAGGATTTATGGGTACAGTGTTTATTCTGGTACACTAGTAGAAATAGCTTGTAGAGAATGTCCTGTGTCATGTTGCCAGGGAATGGTTGGAAGTGTCAGGATCCTTCCCAAGAAAGGAACAACTTTGTGTGATTCCCAAGGTTTGAAAACCCAGAACTTGTTCAGCAGCGCAGTGGTTTGATCAACCTGAATTGAATCCCCAACTCCGGTTTTTCTTTAAAATGTTTTGGTGATGAAACTTGTGACATTTAAATGAGAGCAAGTAGGGATAGAGCCTGACCAGTGCTGGATCCAGACAGGTGGCAGCTCCCTTTTCCACAGAGGAGTTGTGGGGAAAGCATCATTAAGTTGTCTGTGTTTAGAGCAGGTCGTCAATTGAGTTTCCAGCAGATGAAAATTCTGTTTTTATTCTTTCAGGCTTATCTAATCAACTGTGTTTGGAACTGCTATAAATACATCAACAACAGAAACGTTCCAGAGATTGCTGTGTACCCTGCCTTTGAAGCACCTCCTCAGGTTAGCTACAGTTTAATCCAGTAAAATGTCACTAGCCATTATTGACTATTCGAAGAGAAGGACCTGGAACTCACTTTCCTTTTGTGCCATGACTGTGGTTTGGGGCATGAATGGCTGAAATCTTCAGGACTCAGCTTTTCCCCGTTAGAATCCTGAGTCCATGAGACTGGAGAGACTCTCTGCTGCTTGTGTCACCTGGCTTAGCTGTGATTTTTATTCCTTAGTGGTCCTCGCCAGGGTTGTGTTCATGGAAAATAAGACAAGAAACAGTAGCCTCTGTGGCTTCTGAGGATGGGGAGTACCATTGATTGAAACTTGTGTTTTCAGAAGCATCCATGTGATCCAGAGGGGGAGCTGACCTGTCTGGGAGATGAGTACAGTGGCTTCCTTGAGTCTGTTAGGGGTGGGAGAGCTAACTCTTGGCTGCCTCTGATTGCTGCTATACTTCCTTCCCAGAGTTTCAACATACGGAATATATGTCACCCATAATAGGGCCAGCTGGAGTCACTTAGATTAGAATTCCACTTCAGTGCATAGGTGTGCCTGTTACCCTAGAGGACGTGATAGAATTTTTATGATCTTATTGACTACAAAGATCCTGATGAAATTTGGAACCAGAATATTATTGAAGTCTTCTTATAGCTTGGTTTGGTGGGGTTCCCTTAACCCATATCCTCACCCATCCCTTCTGGGCATTGGCTTTGGCATTTTGTCAGTTGCAGTGGAATGAGGAGAGAGCAGAGGCACATGCTCCTTGGAGCCGCAGGGTCAGTCCAGAAGCAGAATTCTGCCAGCCTCCCTCCCTCCCACCTGGTAAAGTTCCAGGTTTTCAGACATTTACACTCAGGAACTTTTTAGCTAACAGTCTGGTTTCTTCAGCTTTTCTTTATAGGTTTGTGTAACCTTATTTAGGGCATACAATCTAAAATCTGAATTATCCCAGAAAGGACTTTAAAGTCTGTATATTTTTTTCTTTCTTTAGTATGTTTTGCCAACCTATGAAATGGCCGTGAAGATGCCTGAAAAAGAACCACCTCCTCCTTACTTACCTGCCTGAAGAAATTCTGCCTTTGACAATAAAGCCTATACCAGCTTTTGGTCTTGTTTATTTTACAGAATGCTGCAATACAGGGCTCTTCAAACTTGTTTGATATAAAATACATTGTCTTTTGTTTAAGCGTTCATTTTCAAACACTAACGAGCTTTTTGACTTATTAAAAGTCTTCTTGTTTTTTTGTTAAGTCTATTACATTTTAATAGTTTTTGAGGACAATCTAGGTTAAGCAAGAGCAAAGTGCCATTGTTTGCCTTTAAATCGGGGGGTGGGATGGGGAACGGGGTATTCTTCACATATTTTTCTTTTTTAACTTTGCACTTTCTTTATATAATAGTTTGCATTTTTTTATTTGTTGCCCTGGATATTTTCAGAAAGAATGAGTTAACTATTCAGGGTGAATGAGTTGGGTATAAGACCTGAAGTTTTCAACTATGGAAACAGAAAAACATGACATTCTGACTTGACTGTGGAGGATGATGGTTGTGTGTTTCTAATTTGTATATGTTTCCATCTTTGTGATAAGATGCTTTAATAAATCTCTTAAATACTTACTGTTGTCTTTTTTTAGATATGTACCTTTTTTTGTAGATAAAGCCTCACATTTTCCATTATAATATATTCAGACTGCCGAGGCTTTTTGTGAACTTTGAAAATACTAAGCCGGGCTCCGTGGCTCAGCCTGTAATCCCATGCCTTTGGGAGATTGAGGTGAGTGGATTGCTTGAGCCCGCAGGTTCGAGACCCGCCTGGGCAGCGAGACATCATCTCTACAATAAATCAAAAAATCAGCCGGGCGTAGTAGTGCGTGCCTGTAATTCCGCCTACTTGGAAGGCTGAGGCGGAAGGATCGCCGGAGCCCAGCAGTTCGAGGCTGTGGTGGCCGGGAGCAGCCACTGCACTCCAATCTGGGTGACAGAGTGAGACTCCAACTCAAAAAAAAAAAAAAAAAAATAAGAAGAAAGCAGAAGCAAACTGCAGCTTTCAGGCACCCCAATTTAAATTTGTCCTGATTGAGCACAGTGGCTCACGCCATAATCCCAGCACTTGAGGAGGCCGAGGCAGGAGGGCTGATTGAGTCCAGGAGTTTGAGACCAGTCTAGGCAACATAGGGAGACCCCACCTCTGTAAAACAAAATAGCTGGTTGTTTGTGCCTCTAGACCCAGCTACTCAGAAGGTTGAGGCAGGAGGATCACCTGAGCCCAGGATGTTGAGACTGGTGAGCCATGATCATGCCACACTGCACTCCAGCCTGGGTGACAGACCCAAACTCAAAAAATACATATATGTGTCCTGAAAATATTCCACCTTGCATCTTGGTAAGAATGTAGCAGCAGTGGTGGCTTTATATACATCAGGTAGGCACATGGGTATACTTTATATATCTTTCAAAGGGAGAGCAGAATTGTTTGGCTGCAAACTCACTTTGTGAACACCTACCACCACAAAAAGAATAAGCTTTATATTTAGAAAATAAGTGTAATTATATCTAAGCGTATACTCAGTTTCTAGTAGTGGAAGAGGTTTTGCTGATATTCTTTTTGTTTGTTTTTTTTTGGGGGGGTTTGAATTGGAGTCTTACTTTGTCACCGAGACTGGAGTGCATTGACACGTTCTTGGTCACCCCAGCCTTGACCTGCTGGGCTCTGGCGATCCTCCTGCCTCAGCCTTCCAAGTAGCCAGAACTATAGGTGTGCGCTACCACGCCCGGCTAATTTTTGATTTATCATACAGATGAGGTCTCGCCAAGTTGCCCAGGTGGGTCTTGAACCTGTGGGCTCAGACAATCCACTCACTTCGACCTCCCAAAGCTGGGATTACAGGCTGAGTTACTGAGCCCAGCCTGCTGATATTCTTAATTAATTTTTAGGGACAGAGTCTTGCTCTGTTGCCCAGGCTAGCATGATCATAGCTCACTACAACATCGAGCTCCTGGGCTCAAGTGACCTCCTGCTTCAGCCTCGAGTAACTAGGACTACATGGCACCAAGCCTACTCATGTTTTGCTCACATATTTAGAACATTGCAGAATCACGGATGATTTCTCTGGGCTAGATTTCATTTTGTTTGTTGATTACAGAAAAGGAAGTCTCATAGTTTCATCAAGTTTCCTTTGTTGTCATGTTGATTTAATTTTATTGTTCTCTGTTGAAGACCATGCTAAGCAATATTTAGCTCTTAACTAAATTCTTATTAGTCCTTTGCTCATGGTGAGATTACATAAGGTATTTGAACACATTGGTACCCTGACCTGGCGGGGCTCCTTTTCCTGTTAAGTTGCAGATGCAAAGACATTTGCCCACCACCCACAGCCAAGCTCAGTGGGCCTGATGCTAGGTCACTATGTCCTCTAATCACCACTTCATTATAAGCAGGCTTATCTTTTGGAACAGGACACGGGTTTTTGACTTAAAAGAACAGTCACAATATGTTAATCATTTCCCCAAAGAAGAGGAAAAATGTGTGACTGTTAAGGGATCATTTTTTTCAGTAGGGAAATCTGTTTTCAGAAGTTACTATCCTAGTAAATATGCCAAATACTAGAGGAAAAACTTAAGTAAGTTTTAGTCTATTTACTTCTAAAATCAGAACATTGAAAGAAAAATGTTTAAACATTTGGCCTTGTTTTTAGACTATGAAGCAACTTCACCTTAAGCAAGTAGCTCCTAAATTTCACCATTCTGACTCCTGAATTATGGCACTCCTTCTGCATCCCCCCCAAAGTATTTCATGAAATATTGATGCACTCCTACATCACAAAGTCCTGTTATTTCTAATTTCAGTTTTGGGTTAGCTTTCCACATTGTTGACTGCCCAACCTTAAAGATTCTGTACAGATTCAGTGAAATCTCTATTAAAATTCCAGCGACTTTTTTCTTTACAGAAAAAAAAAATTCTAAAATTTATGTGAAACTGTAAGAGACCATGAATAGACAAGTCAATCTTGAGAACAAAGCTAGTGGTATCGTACATCCTGATTTCAAAATATATTAGAAAGCTATAGTAATAAAAACAGCATGGTGTAGGCATAAAGACAGACATATAGACCAATGGAACAGAATAGAGAGCCCAAATATAAATCTGTGTGTCTATGATCAACTGATCTTTAACAACGGTGCCAAAAAATACACAGTGGGGAAAGGACAGTCTCTTCAACAAGTGATATTAGGAAAACTGGATGTCCACATGCAAAAGAATGAAATTGGATCCTTATGATGCGTCACACAGAAACCAACTCAAAGTGGATTAAAGACTTAAATACAAAGATCTTAAACTTCTAAGCACCCAGAAGAAAACGGGGGGAAAAAAACCCAACTTTCTGACGTTGATCTTGGTGGTTTTTACAAATATGACACCAAAAATACTGGTGACAGAAACAAGGGGGACTATACCAGCCTAAAAAGTTGCTGGATAGCAAAGGAAACCACAGAGGAAAAGGGCCACGGAATAGGAGAAAGTGCTTGCAAGTCATGTAATTGATAGGGAGTTAATCTCTCAAATATATAAGGAACTCTACAACTAAATAGCCCAGAAACGAATACCCAGTTTAAAAATGGGCGGAAGGCTTGAAGAGACATTTCTCTAGAGAAGACATACCAATGGCCTACAGGTCTGTGAAAGAATGGTCAACATCACCAGTCATCACGGAAGTGCACATCAAAACCACAGTGAGATATCACTTCACACCTGCCAAAGTGGCTATTAAAAACAACTCACAAGGGTTGGTGAGGGTGTGGACAAATTGGAATCCTTGCACACTGTTAGTGGGAATACAAAATGATGCAGCTGTAATGGAGAATAGTTTGGAAGTTCCTCAGAAAAGTAAAGCTAGAACAAGTACATGATCCAGCAACCCCACTTCTGGGTATTTATTCAAAAGAATTGAAATTGGGATTCCAAAGTGATATTAGCACTCCCATATTCATTGCAGCACTATTTACAATAACCTAGATGTGGAAACAATTCAAACATCCCGACACATGAACAGATCAAGAAAATGTGACTCAGCAGTCCCCCTTATTCAAAGAGGATACAAGAACCTCAGTGGATGCCTGAAACCACAGATGATACCTGAACCCTACATATACTATGTTTTCTTCTAGACATACACACCAATTCCAGATAAAATTTAATTTATAAATTAGGCACAGTAAAACATTAACAATAATAGAATAATTATAAAAAATATACTGCACTAAGTTATGGCTCTCACAATATCTTACTGTACTATACTCACCCTTCTCGTGATGGTGTGAAATGATAACATGTTTACATGACAAGATGTGAATACACAGGCACTGTGATGTAGTGTTTAAAACTAATGAATTGTTTATTTCTGGAATTTTCTATTGACCATTTTTGAACCGAAGTTGACTACAGGTAACTGAAACTTTGGAAAGCAAAACTGCAGATAAGGGGGGAACTACTGTATATATATATACAATGGAAACTATTCAGTCTTTAAAAAGAAGAAAATTCTGCCATATGGAATAACGTGAATGAATCTCGAGGACATTAGGACTAAGAGAAATGAGTCAGTACAGAAAGACAAATACTACATAGTTCCATTTATATGGGGCAACTAAAGTAGTCAGTTTCATAGAATCAAAGAGTGGAATGGTGGCTGCCAGAGGCTGGAGGGAGGGGGGAAAAGGAGTTGTATAAATAGGCATGAAGTTTCAGCTAAGCAAGATGAATCAGCTCTAGGGATCTGCTGTGCAGCATTGTACCTATTGTCAACAATAATGTTTTGTAGACTTAAAGTTTTGTTAGGAGAGTCTGATGATTGAAGCCACAGAAATAATTTTGTTAGGTGAATAGATTTCATATGAAATGTTCTTACCGTGATAAACTAAAATTTTTTTAAAAAAACACAACTAAAACCAAAAGTGTCTTCTCTTGGCTTTCAAAAGTGTATTGAGGCAATCCTATCTTTTTCATCTATTCAGTTTCCTTCCATTGTTCTTTTCAACTGTATTCTCTTTTCCATACCATCCCATCTCTGGTTGTGGCCATATTTACCATCCCATCTTTTACTTACCATTGTAAATGCGGCTTCAAACTCTTTGAAGTTCCACGTGTTCTCCAAGGCCTGTGAAACAACTCAACCCAGAGTTCTACGAGGCTCTCATTGAGCTGACAGCACACATCTCCTCCCTGGCATCACTGGCATATTTACTGTAATGAAATAGTGTGGCCTTAGAAGTTATTTGTTGTGTTCAGTATCCAATTCACACTCCTGTGTAACATGGGCAAAATGTAATTCAATTCAACCAGTATACTATTTTGAGCATGTACTTTGCTCCAGATGCAGGTGCAGGAGATATATCGATGGACACAACAGTAAAAAGAAAAAAAAGTGGTCTCTGAAAGGATGGACTGAAAGCGAGAAGCCACTTTGTTTTGTTCCTAAATCTTAACACAATAACAAGAAAATAAAAACTGTGTCTAGGAGGAATGCAGACTTTTAGATAAAGATTAACTTTGCTGAGTTTGTCTTTTCAGAAACCCAGATCCCTCAAACAAGACCAGTATTTGCCCGTTGTAATCATAA